AGACACCACTGTATTAAACTTCTAGAATCTGGAGTTCAAAAGTACTTCAGAAGTCATCTAATCCAACCATTTTAATCTTTTTCGTTAAAGCAGTGCCTCATAGAAAAATGTCTTCTAAACTCTAAATAGTAGTAAGAAGGAATTAAGAAAGTGCTTTAACTTTGTAGCGACTGCATACATTTTAAGTTTTTTTAAAAAAAACAGAATCTTGTTAACTTAAGGTTGAAAATAGACTATGTTTTAATTTGCACAATATTGTTACCAGACTTGCAAAAACTCATAAAACAACTCAAAATTAATGTCAGGTAACGGGTGAATAACATGGCAAATACGAGCTCCATAAAATAGTTCATTGGAATTATTGTAATTCCCCTTAACCTAATGTGCACAGCTGAAAGTTACAATAAACAAATCCTGGCCCTATTAAGACATTTTTTGCAGATAATTATTGCATTATTGATATTTAAATATTTTTGAGGAGTGGCCTGAGTGGATATTTACCTGCTTGGCTTAGAGAAGGCAAATTGTTTCTGGAAGCAAGTATAGATAGGCTGCAGAAAGTTAGAATATAATTTACTTGGTTGTATTTGTTCTCTTGGGCATTATGTATTATACATTAGAGAGTTTGTTGTTGTTCTCAAGCTGTAAAATGGAGAAATGCAGTCTGCAACTGAACAACCCTTAGAGCCCCTCCAAAAATTGCTATCAAATTGGGCTTGTGGCAAGAAAAGGAACATGCATACTATAATCAAATGTAGTATTTGACCTAACTATGCCCATATAATTATCACCCCAGAAAGCTTCCTTTTGGTAGTAGATACAATTGTATCAAATAAAAATCTTATTTGATTCTTTCTTATAAGTCTGTTGATGGACGTCAGATCAGAGTTGACCAGGCTGGAAAATCCTCCCGTGGCTCTTCTGGAGGCAGAGGGCGTGGACGTGGATTTTCTAGAGGTGAGCTTTCCTACAATATTATACTTGCCCTTTTATCATAAATCTCCACTTCATTGAAATGATTAGATTTAACAGATACTTTTATCTTTGCAATAGGAGGCGGTGGATATGGAGGTGGCCGTTACGATAACAGAAGCGGTGGATATGGTGGATCCAGAGACTATTATGGCAGCAGGTAAGCTTTTTTAGAAGTAAATTGTGATCCTTGCATATTGGGTATAGAAAATGCGCAAAATATTCCATGCCTCAACTGAAACATACATACATATTGGTTCAATAAACAACAAAGTAGGAATGTTCTGGGCCGGATGCAGATTGAAATATGATTATTCCAGGCAGAAGTAGTTTGGATGTCAGTGAAAAAATTATGAAAAGCCAAGGACATCAGCAGTCGATAAGGGGAGCATTGGAATTGAGCGTGGGCAGGCCAGCAGGGTATTGCATGGTGGAAACCTGTTTCATTCTAGAGTGTATTCCTGCACATTAAAGAACGGGCACATGGTTGTCCAAAATCCTTTGACAACCGGGGGAGAAAAATGCCATGCTGGGAGCTGCTGAGGAGAAAGAGGGAGCATTGCAGACTAGTCCCCCTACTTGCCCTGTAAAATGGTTCAAGGTCCCACTTTCTATTTCATTCCTAGCAATGGCAATGACTTTTTTTTTAAATGAGCTGTGGTTTTAGAAATAATACATCAAAGCCTTTGTTAGAAACTATCTTATTGTCACTCCTGATACTTAGCTTTGCTTCAGATTAATTTCAGCACAAAATATCCTCAGATGGATTGCTATTCTTTTTCCATAGAAAGGATTTGGGGGTTAATTTTATTTTGAATTTAATGTGAGAACTGTTAGTGCTGTGCGCTCCCCTGCTGTGAATAATTGTCTTAAAGAAATGAAAATAATATGCCATTTTAAATCACTTGGAATAGATAGGTACAAAATTATAATATGCTGGATTTGTCCTGTACTATAGCTGGGTTCAGTAGAAGGGGGGGAGGTTACTAAAAATTCTTCTTTTAGCCCTAAATGGATGTAAACATTTAGTAGGTGTTGGTAAAGTTATATTAATATATTAAATAATCCTAGCAAGACCAAGTCGCTGCAGATGTTTGGATTGTTGGATCTGAAAATACCACATCTTTTACTTTGGACGAGATAGCACTTCCCCATTCAATTGTGGTACATAATTTGGAAGTCTTCTTGGACTTTAACTCCTTCATGGGCAAGTTGTAGCAGTGGCCAGGAAGGGTTTTGCATAGCTTGATCTGGTATGCCAGTTGTGCCCTTCAGTCAATCACTCATGGCCTGGTCACTTCATGGCTTTTTTACTGCAATGTGCTACATGCGTGGCTCCCCTTGAATACCATGCAAAAGTTATAACTGATCCTGAATGCATCGGGTAGACAATGGTTGCCATGCCTTGGTATGCCCTTGCAACATCTCTGCTTCAATCAAACATAGCTTGGTGGGATGGCATGATAGTAACCAAATAACCCTCGGAAAAAGTGCAGCTGCTTTAGGTGTTTCTGGGCAGGTGTTAATTGTCTGCCTGTCTTTATTCCAGATCACATTCATGCTTTACATCAGCTCCTCCACTTAGTACTACAACAAATGAAAAAAATAATCTGATAAGTACATAATTAATAGGTGCATCAAAGTAATTGGCCTATCCATATAATTGGTATTAGATGATAAAATATATCCAAATCACGCAACTATCATTTGCGCAAAGAGGATAAAGCAATTTTTTACATGCACATAATAAGTTTTGCTCTCAGTATTAGTATTTGCACAATTTAACTAATCTAGTACTGGACTAAATCAGTCTTGTGCTTTTCTTCCAGAAATCAGGGAGGCTATGGGGACCGTTACTCTGGAAGCTCTTACAGAGACAATTATGATAATTAGGTGAGTATGTTTTTTAGTATGTTCAAGTGGGTTTAAGAAGTCTGTTCCTGTTATGTAGTAGGTAGTAAAACATAGTAATTAGCCTTCTAAATACATATTACTTTGCCAACAGAATATAGCCTAAATGAACTGTCTTGCTGAAGAAAAATAATGGGACAGTTTAACATCTTAACAAATTGATTCATAAAGGAACTATTGAGCAAGTCTATAAAAATTCTGACTGCCTTCTTTGCGCACAGAAACATCCTCTGGACTATACATTTTGATAAATAAACCATCACGTACCTCTTAGAGCATGAATTTTTGAAAGAACAAAAAAAAAGTTTGCAAACCTGGCCCTTAACAAAGGAAGCTTAGCTTTACTCCCCTCCCCGTGCCCTTCCTCATGCTCCTTCTCAGGTTAGTTGACAGCACCATCACCCAAGGCTGTAAACAATTTGGCCTGGGTTGGGAGGAGGGAGACTAGTTTAGTAAAATGTACCGGTTTCTTCAGTGTACTTTACAATTTGTACCTACTTCTCGTTCTCAGCTTGCACCGAGCATAAATCCTTCCTGACTCAAGATCGTCCTTCCAATGGCTGTATTTATAAAGATTTTTGGAGCTTCGCTGAATCTTGTTTAGTTCTCTTCCTGTATCTTCCCTTTTTTGTAGTCTTATCACAAGCAGCCCAACAGCTTCTGCTACAGGATGGCCTATTAGATCTTTTGGAGGATTTTTTTTAATTTGCTTTTTTTTCCTTTTTTTATTTTTTACAGGTGTGTTTAAGCATTTTGAATAATACATTTATTGTTTTTTTCCCCTTGATTTCTTTCAACAAGCCAAGGTGGGGTGGGTCTGACCTATATATCACCTATAATTCCCCAGAGCCTGAGCAAGGTGTGAAGATCCTCCTTGTTTTTATAAATGCATTAATACCTTGTAGTTTTGTAAAAGTACTATGATGTAGTGAGGAAGGGGCATGGTGGAAGGCAGCCCCCCCTTGATTATTAAGGGAGACTCGTGTTGATCTTCGGAAACAAATTTATACTGTATGATGTACCTAGAACCTGAAGCTTGCAGAACCTGCAAGTTCTTGAAAAACTGTTTGTTTATATTTTTCTTTTAAACTGGAAGACTCACATGTAATTCAATATTGTACTAAAAGTGGTTAAGGTATTCCTGTATTCAGTTCTTTGGCTTCACGAAGCCTATTAAATGCCCTTCTGAAAATGAATTCTGTTCTTGACATTGTAACACTTCAACTCTTTGCAGTCAAGTTAAGGCTGCAGTAACTACATGGGTACTTGGATAAACAGAAATCTTGATAGAGGACTCAATCACACAAGTGGGCTGGCTACAAGCATAATTTTTTATAAAATAATTTCATATAGATGTTGCAGTAAAAGCTTGAAAAAATCAAGCTTTTAGAACTAGAAGGGTTGTTTCTGTGTTACCGTATTTGCCGCCGTATAAGACGACTTTTTTGCCCTGAAAAAGATGCCTCCAATTGGGGGGGTCGTCTTATATGCCGGGTCGTCTTATACGCCGGCAAATAGTAATTGGGAAGCACTGCGGCTGCCCGCGGCTGAGGCACTTTTGCGCACCGTGGAAACGAATCCCGTGAAGCCGAAAGGAGCAGCCAGCCTTCTCCCAGCTCCCAAGGAAACGAGGCTCGCACCGCCCGAGCTCCGCTGAGGTATCCGGCTGGGGCTGTCAGGAGTTGTTACCGCTGGCGCGGCTCCGGTCCCG